GTGGCACATATATAGTAGTTTTGATATTTCGAATCAAAAACAGTTCTTATTTAATTCAGTGACAGCAACGGGGACAAAGCTATTTTTATAACGCTTTGTCCTACATCAGGTATATATATATATATATACCTCATATATACATGTGTGTGTGTGTGTGTGTGTGTGTGTGTGTGTGTGTGTGTGTGTGTGTGTGTGTGTAATACCATGGGTGTGTAGTAAAACAGTCCACCTCTGATCACCCACTGAAAATATCTGGATATATCTGTATCAGATAGATATATATTCAGATAGAATATAAAAAATACAACAAAGGTGGCCCTGAATAGTCTTGATGCATGTTCAGTCATGCAGGTAGGGACATCCCAGTGAGTTGATTCTGGTCATGGGGATGTAACATTTCAGTTGGAAAAACATTGCATCACTCATCCAAGGGGAGACTGAGAAAGTCACTTGGATGAGTGATGAAATATTTCTACTGAAACGTAACATCCCCATGACCAGAATTGAATTTCTGAGATGCTCCGAATTGTTAATTTACCAAAATCTTATATCACCCAAGAATGAAAATCTATTTCACTTTCCAAACTAGGCCGACTGATTTCTCCAGTTCCCAGATGCAAAGGCATTTAATGGCGAGTGTTACTACAAGAAGAAATGATGCAACACGGTGGTAAACCTGCTCCTGTCATTTTTAAATGTCTTGTTGCTAATTCGATCGATTCAGAATCCACCAGTAGTTTTTATAAAAGAATCAAATAAGCTTCGATGTCAAAGGTTTATGTGCCATTTTCAGGCAAAAATGGGGTTTAAACAATTTGCCGATTGCTGCGTTATCTTTTTAATTCCCCACCGTGTCCACAACTTTGGAAGCAATGTTGTAAAAGCAAAAATGGGGGGGAGGGAAAGGAGAGTGAAAAGGCAACACAAATAGGTTAAGAATGTAGTGAATAATGCATGCAGCTCTGAGAAACAGAGGCTTCACTTGTCATTTATTCAGGGAAAAGTTAACGCTCTACCTAGAAGCACAAGTGGAAAAAATGCTGTTGGAACAAAAGGACAGACTTGCTGCAGTTTTACATGTTGTCTGCACTTCACACTTCTGCTGATCTGCAGAGGAGGAGAGACTTTTATCTCATAATGACGCAAATTATAAAACACCTAATTTTACAATCCTGCTGTACTTGTATACTAACAGCTCTTGTTCGTCATCCAAAAAGTGTTTTCTCACTGGATGTCATTTTATCTTTTTTTTCTATGAAAAAAATTACTATGCATTTAACCAAATCCAGCTCATTACAACACAAGACAACAGCCTGCAACTGTGATTTGCATATCTGTTAGATTAGTCTCTAATCTAATCTGTAATTATACCCACACTGACAATTAACCCATTCATTGAAGCCCAGTCAAGTAGAACTGGATAGTGGAAACACATCATACCAAACTCGTGAGACTTCTCATGGTCAAACAAAACGAGCTGAGTGAAACTGAGACAGGAAACAAAGAAAGAAGAAGAAAGAAGATATTTCTGGGTGTGTGTGGCATCTGTTCAGGTCACAGTATTAAAATAACATCAACTAGAAAGAGAATATGGCTCACGCTATGAGAGATTAGCTGATTTTTGAGGTGAAAAGAAGCAAATATAGCCTGTATAGCAGATGTTAAAGATCGTCCTTTCTTCAAATATTTGTGCCTTCATTTAAGAAAAATAGTACATGATGAGAACACCCTGTGTAACATGTTGAGATGTAACCACTAATTTTTAGCGATGTTCAAGTAGGGATGTGTGAGAGCTGTTAAAAGTCTGCTTGCAGCAAAGGGAAAACCTAGGGAAGCTTGTTATAAATGCTGACAACTTCGCACTCCACCATTTCGTGTGTATAAGGTGACCTCTGACATCACAAAACCTGAAGCTTCAAAATGCCTGACGTCAAACTGACTACATCCATCTTTTGTAATATTTATGAAACTGCATGATATTTATCAGGAAAATGTGTTGCTATGTCACTGCAATGTGCTTCTAATTGTTTCCAACCCCATAATTATTAATTGGCATCTTCATCTTTTCTCTCTGAGCAAACCTTTGGTGATCGTCGCCACAGTTTTAATTAAAATTGTCCACAAAAGTTGCTTCCAAATAATTCTGCTTTACAGATTTCCGCATTTGATTTCCGTGATGAGGATGTAGGTAGCATTTGCTTCTCTGATGTTTGTGCATCAACCCTGCACAGTGGAATGATACAACGACGTTGCTGCGTCAGCTAAACCTTCGTACAGCTGCTTCACACTCACGGGTGGCTTCTATTTTCTGCCCAGCAGACGTGAAGTCTTCTTGTTCTTTCAAATCCACATTGTGACTTTCACATGCATTAATGGCATTTCAGGCAGTGGAAATTGCAGGCTGGAGGCAGTTTGATATCTTTTTTATAGCCAGTGGCCACCGAGAAGCTGCATTTTTATATGGAAAGGTTGCTGAGCGTTTCTGGGCTTTTCAGGTTTACAGAGTGTTTATGAGCTCTTATCTGAAAGTATCTAATGCCAAATCTTGACCTGCCTTACGAATCTTAATGATTCAAAGTTTTAAGATGCTCAAAAACTTAACACTATCCCTCCAAATGATGAAATATCCCATCAATCAGTGTTTCCACATTGTGTGATAGTGTTAAAAATCTGAATTTCTCGTCTTTCTTTATATATTCATAGTGAAGTGGTTTACACATTTAACTAGCAAGTCACAGATCTCCGTTAAATCCTGGGAGGTGACACAAATCCCTTTGGGGTTGCATCAGGAAGGGCATCGAACATAAGAAAAATAATAATCTGCCAAAAACAAACAGGTGGTGCTACCTGCTGTGGCGGACCTTTGTTAATAAGCAGACAAAAGTAACTATTCATGGAGAGGTCTTGAATGATTAGTAATTCACGAGTCACTAGTAAATTGTTAATAGTGAAGTAATATTTGAGAAAAAAGTACATCAAAAACATTTCATCTTTTTAAATCTTTGCATGCCAGCCAGTGTATGCGAAGGCTTTGGCAGATTACATGCTAATAAATTGACTTTCTACATGATAAAAAGGCTGAGATCCACCGCCATGTGCTACAACACAATATAATCTGCTATTTATCATTCAATTTTTCCACTGCGTATGCTGATGATGAAAGGAAATACTGAATTTTATTGTGAAGGCTTGCCTTGCCTTGCTGCCATCCATGATCCAATGTGATAAGCACTGACACACCCTCTCCTTGTTTACATCCTTTTATACTGAGATGCCCTCCAGATAATCTACTGATTCAGGGCTATGAAGCATTTGTATTCTGCATACATTTGCATCTGCATACACATGTAGCTGTCATTATATGTTGGACTTATCCGGCGTTTTGTGCACACTGTTTGCACACTAATCCAGTGCATTCTCTGCTTGCCATAAAAACCTGAAACCAGAGAGACGACCAGCAGCTCAGCAGCTCTTAAAGACACTCATTTAGTGAAGATGCTTTCAGCCTCCTGCCTGTCTGAAGCAAAATTTTAATCAAAACCCTGCAACCCCTTCACCAGTAATATGCTCTTATCAACGCAAGCCCGCGGATGCATTCAAACAAATTGCATTATTTATAAAAGAGTGCTCTCGTGTAAAGACAACTACAATTCACTGCACCACATCTGCATATCTATCTTCCCAAATAACTCCATGATTCAAAAATCCCAGCAGATGAACTCCTGCAACACAGCCTTGCTAAGTAACACGTGTCAAGAAGCATGAATTTTACAGCACAGGGAAATGACTGATGTGTTTCCATTATTAGCTCCACTAAGTGCTGTCTTAGCTGCGCTCGTGTTAATAACACTTGCTTTGAAACTCTAATCAGACGCCCCTCTCTGCAGGTGGTAATGACGAGAAACAAAGGCATTTAAAATTGATGTGACAAACCCGATACGTAGTATAAAGGCACATCTGTTTTGAAATCCACCCGGGCTCTCCTCATTATCCTTCATAACACCGTGTGAAGAATCGCTATGCATTTAAGGCCGAGCGAAGGCATCAAAGGCGTTGACTAAGTTCTCGCTGCATGACTCCATGAGGAGAAATACCAGGCCAGTTATGGGAGGATGCAGCTGACACTTTGAATGTGGAGACAAGTCGATCTCTGCTCTATTTTTCCTCTTGGGGGAAATATGTATTCTGACCATGTTCGTTGCATAATAAGATATTACTTGAGCATGCTTTATAAGCAGCGCTCCAAGGTTGTGTTCGGTGTGTCTGCACCCCTGAAAATCTTGATAGATTCCCTTTTTAATAATTTAGCTATCAGTCTGAACTATGAGAGCTCCTCAAATAGTGTCTCACCCTGACAAATTCAGTTTCAATCATACTGTGAATAACACTGTGCTGCAAAGTATGCATTCAGATCTGCTACTTAAGACTGCAGAAATTACTAAAAACATACAGAAATATTAACCAGCACACCTGGTCTGTAAAGAAAGCTGTCAGTTTCCAGTTTCTCTTTGTGTTCAAGTACCTCTAAAGCGCTCTTTTAGCAAAGTGTAACTCCCAACACAGCTGAGCCACAGTCCCGGGTTAATCCCGCATGCTGTCCAAAAAGCTTTTGAAGCCACCTCCTTATAACACAAGTGCTGCACAAGTTAATCCTGCTGCTCAGAAACTTGGGCAGCACCACAATGACAGTCACACAGTTTGTCAAGGATGAAAAAAAAGGAAAAATATAAGATTGCTTCTTTCCTTTAACATCACCGTATCGTGTGAAAAGATAACCCAGTTTTGTTTTCCTGTCATCTCTTTGAAAACTCTCTGCTTTGTGCATGATTTAAGCCGTGATAATGCAATCTCATTGATGCGCCTCCAAGGCTCAGATGAATTAAAACAGCAGTAAGACTCAGGATGCGATTGTGTGGAATTGCTGAGGGTGGATGTAAGGCATGCATGTGATTAAAGATTTTTTTTGGGGGGGGGCGGGATATGGAGAGAGTGAAACTCACTGGCTTGCATGAGCTGTCCCTGGCGTCCAAACACCTGGGAGAAAGTGGCATGGCTGCAGGTGAGGGTGTCCTCCATGGCTGTCCCACTGACACACGCTGCTGAGGAGAAAGAGAGTGGGGGGAGAGAATGGGGAAAGGGAAGGTCAGCATCACTGCGTCACATTCAGATGGGAAAAAGAAGGAAAATGAATGAGGAGAACAAGAGACAAGGGCTTGCCTTCAGTTGGAGCAGCTGCTGACTGATCTCTGGTGGTGACTGCTCTTCTCTGGACCCGTCCTGTGTTGTTGCTGCTGCTGCTGCTGCTGCTGCTGCTGAGGAGCAAAATGCAGCCCCTCGCTGCTCGCACCAAAATGAGCAGAACTGCTCGCCGCACAGATAATAATGGGAGGGGGGGAGTGTATGTGTGTGTGTGCCTGCCTGCCTGCCAGCCTGCTTGTCAGCATGTAAGTCTTCGCGCACGAGAGAAAGTTCTGTGAATGTGTGCATGTGGGGCGAGAGAGCGATTTCAGGGTGGTAAAGCAGGTAACGCAGAGCTGTAGGCACACTTGCTCTGCCAGCACTCTGATCTTGTGCTTCGTCTGTACGGGCTGACAGTCCTCTGCGGCTCCAGACAGGCTGGATAGAAGAGAGGGGTGGCGAGGGGTGAGTGCAGCTTCTACATCAGGTAAAAGTCAATCCTCCCTCTTCCCCTCTCACTCTCAGCTTAAGTAGATGGCAGCATCTGTCCTCTGGGCATAGGACAGGACCGTTGTTTTCTGATCTGCGTGAGTGTGCCCCCTTTTCACTCCTCCTACCCCTCCTCTCCTCTCTTCTCTACAGCCCTCATTTGCTGCGCCTCAGCAGTAACATTTCTCCTGTTCTCTCTCACATGTCTTACTAACTCTCCACCCCGCCCCATGCAAATCCCCTCGATCCATCTTAAAGCTCGGGCCGCTGCTGGGAAACAGATTCTAGCAAACTCGAGTGCTTCATCTTCCCCCGGTGCTGAGGGAGAAGAAAGAAAAAAAAAAGGAGGATGAGAAAGTGGAGAGGTTGTATAAAAAGCGAAAAGTAGGGCTGGTACAGTTTCCAGAGGCTTCATCTTGAAAAGGAATTGGAGAAAACTGCTGAGTATAAAATAAAAATCAGCTCCTACTCTACCGAAAATGTAACTCCTGTAAACTTACACTTGCCTCGATGTGTAGTGCAGCAGCTCTGGTGGAGAAGTGAAAAATGAGGCTGTCTGAAATCTTCACGCCGCAGCAAAGGGCTAAATGAAGGTGTCGTAATAAATATTAACAACACCACAGGAACAAAATGAGCATATGTTACGAGATCTTAAAATACCCTCCCAGACCTTGGAGGCACAGTTGTATTGTACCCAGTGTGCAGCGGTTGGCATGGAGACCTCCACCACAGACGAGACCAGCACAGTGGTTCCAGCACATTATCGCACTCAGGCCATTTTTGCAATGTCTAACCGCTCTGCAGCCTGTAAACCGGTGTTAAGCAGTCAATTTCCTCCCAGGTACAGGAAAAAAAAATCAACTTTGCCAGGAAGCAGCATTGTCATGGAGCCATCTCTCACGCCATTGCTCTGCAAGGAGAGCTCACCGGGGACCTGACCACAGCACTCACATCCTCACATCACATCCTCCTGTTTTGAAAGGAAATGACAGGAACCTCAGTAGACTGCAGTGGGCCGGTTTAAGCAGGTGCTTCTGCAAGTAAAAAAAAAAGTAGAAGAAGAAGAAAATGTCCTGCACTGAAAGCCTGTAAGCAAGTGATAGTAAGTTTGTAGCTTGGAAAAGGGTTAGGTAGCTGCAAACAGCATGTGGGCGCGTGCAAACCCAACTAAAAATCTGCAAAATGCTGAGGTCAAAGTGAACCCTGGCATTTCATAAACAGTGAGAATACGCCAGGCACGCCTTCACTTTCAAGTCAGAGGGACTAATGCCCTGCAGAATACATCTCCTCTCCACCTTCATCAGCTTTAATGCTATTCTCTTTGAACAGGAAATAGAGGCATAGTGAGGTTTTTTAGGAGGCTGTAAATCATTGTGTATGAGCAGCTGTCATTCCCTTCCACTATGTATCCTGTTACTGGCAATTTTCTTTCTCCTGGGGACAAATAAGTGTATATTTTATTTTAATCCAGTCTAATCCAGATTTTTAATGTTCAACTATATGTTGTGGTAGATAAAGAAGTAAACATCTCGCATTAGTGAAGCTTGATCTTATTACTTTAAAGCTATTTAATTTATTAAAACTCATTAGCTTTAAGATATCATTAATGAAAATAATTACCAGTTTACATGAACATTGAAATGATCAGAATATCGATCTGTCCACGCTCTGAGCCACAGATGTTTATTTTTAGCATTAATGTTTGCCTTACAGGAATCGCTTTGGCAAAGTTATTGCCCTCTGTGTGTGTGTGTGTGTGTGTGTACGTGCAATGGAAGTTTGCATCTTTTCATACTTTCAGTCTTATCTCTTTGACATTTTCAGCCGTGCTAGTGGTTCTGCGGTTTGCTCGCGTCAGCATGTTGTTCGATCCATCCGCCACGCTGGTCCAGGCTGAAATATTTGCACAGACGTTTATGCCTCCCTCAGGGGGAATCTCCGACTCTCCCAGCATTAGGTCAAAATTTCAAACTCTTCCCAGCGCAACAATAACAACATTCCTACCACTGCACTGACAGCTGAATCGTAGCATGTCATGACACTCAGCTAAGACTGCAGAGCACAAAGACTTGTATATTTAAGCAAATCTTACACTTGCTTATCTCATAGCTACAAAAAAAAAAAAAAGTCTGTCTTTTGATCAGCTGGAAGAGGGCTAACTTTTCATAACTTGACTCTGTTGCTCTCCATTGGCGTCTCCACACAAAAACATCTCCTCACAACTCCAGATTGTAGTTTTCACTGACAACAATATTTATCACGATGTGAACTGAAATATTGTATTTTATTTGATGCTGCTGCCGTTTCTTTATTTATTTGAAATTACATGCTTGTCCTGAATTGTATGCATGGTGTAATTGAGAGGTTGAGATGGGTAATCGCTTCACTCTTTTACATCTTAAATCTGCCTCTCTGGAATGTCGTAGTTTATTTTGTCAAGTCAGGCACAGTACTGCATGGAATTGCATTTTTATGAATAGGGCTGAAGCACCGTACACAGCAATCAAGAGAGAGTGCAGCGATATTTCACCCTGACAGCATGAGTATGGTGCGGCGCTCCTCCAAGTGCCCACCCCTCCACACACACATACACACACTCACATAAACTACATCCAGCCATAAAGTATACCATCATGGCACTGGGGCAAATAAACACGTCTCCACATCCCTCTGAATAAAGGGATGCAGCCTGTGGATCAAATCCAACAAATAGATTACATTTAATTTATAATCTCATCCATCAGGATGTCTTCTGTGAGGATCTGGTCCACGCCACAGTGCTCTGGTGAAGATTTGGAGCGCACTCTCCGTTGGCCGGCATTGATAGTTCGTTAGGTTTTTAGGTACTGGGCTACATAAGTGAGACGGATGAGGTCTGTCAAAAACTGAGCTCATCACATGCACACAAGCCAGATGAGACCTTGAAAGATATTCATAGCTACAGATCCATCCCGAGAGGTTCTGAGAAGCTTTGATTTCAGAGATGTTTTTCTACATACATTGGCTGTAACAAGTGGTTTTGTGAGTTACCACTGTCATCTTCACAGCTTGAAGCAGTCTGGCCATTCTCCTTCAACCTTTGACATAAACAAGTAATTTTCACCCAAAAAACTGCAGCTCACTTGACATCTCCTCTTTGTTGGATCACTCTCTGTAAACCCCAGAGATGGTTGTGTGGGGAAAAATCCCAGCAGTTTCTGAAATACTCACACCAGCTCATCTGACACCAACAACCACAGCACACTCAAAGCCACTTAAATCAACTTCAGCTCCGTTCTCATGCTCAGTTTGAACTTCAGCAGGTCGTCTTGACCACGTCTGTGTGCCTAAATGCGCTGAGTTGCTGCCCTGTGATTGGCTGATTAAATATTTGTGTTTACTTATTGCGATAATTATTGCCATGTAACAGACACTATTCGTAAATAAGAAGCAGCGGTGTGCGAGTGACAGAAATATCACAAATATGCACAACACTGAATTATTCATCATAGTTCGTGTGCACACTAGTTTTGTTTCACTGCCCGTGCATGAGCCCTGTAAGGATTTATGACTGTTACTTATCAGTGACTATTCAGAATATATTAATGCACACCTGGATGGAGGACAGTCAAAACTGACTTAAATTACATTACACTTTATATTTTATAGGATTAAGTTCTAAACGAATTATTTTCAAAGTCCATAAACAAAACAGCCATATCTGATGCGTACTGTGTCCAATGGGGCTTTGACTCATATATCTATTACACAATTTGCTTCCCATTTCTATTCTGACCCACACCACAGAGGCAAGAGTTTAAGGTAATGCACGACTCACATATCAGCCACCTGACTAGCAAACTGCTCCCAAAATAGATACAAATCTTGCAGGAACCAGCTGACGGGGTCCCCGGGTCCCCTGTCCCAGTCGTAGTCTGCCAACCCGTGAAGCAAAGGCGGCGACTTCACATGATTTATGCAAGTTTTCTTACCTTCTATCAAAGTCAAATACAATGAAAACTAAAATTCATTTTTCATAATTGGGTGAAGTCCCTGCCAAACTCTAAGTGGAGAAGGTAATCAGTAAATGTAATGTGAAAGACTTTATTACAGCTCCAATGGCAGGGACATCTATTATGTTTGAAAAAAAAAGAAAGAAAAAGGTCTCAGTATATAAAAGGAGTCAGACCAGTTAATCAATCCTTTCTGTCTACATTCACCAATTGATTTTTTATATCAGTACGATACCATGATAATGCACAAGTACATATTTTAAATCAAGCCCAGTGCTGCCAATAACAACAACAAAAAATTCCCAGTCCTCTATGCCCAAATCTCAAAAATCTGCGTATAACTGAGAGTCCCACAAGCAAAAGAACAAATAAAGCTTTACACAAATTGAAAAACGTATTTTAATTATGTCAATTACAGCAACGTTTTACATGA